CCTTCCACCAGTTCATCATTGAGGAAATGCTTATAAAGTAGGCAATGGAGACAGTGGTCAGTGCCTTACCTCAAGCCTGAGCCTCCTTTTTGTGGGCTCTACTTTCATTTAGCACAATTTAGACACAAAACACATGGTGCTGTCTCAGGCCTGCTATTAAATACCTGATACTTATTTGGATGAATTACTGAAGGCTCAGGCCTCGCTTAAAACAACCTGAAGCTGTTTGAAGAGAACCATTCGTTGTGCTGGTTCTCCATACCCTGCACTTGCTGTAATAATGACCAGTAGTGAGCAATAATGACCAATAATGGCCAGTAATGCTCAATTCCATAATCACAGATTCCACATATTCCTTCCTTACCTCCACAGTACTGAAGAGCTCCAAATGTGCTTTCAAACCCTGCATAGATGTGGCAGCAGCTTTCTCTCCCACAGCCTCCTCAGAGCCCCCTTCACCTCCTTGTTCCTCAGGCTGTAGATGAGGGGGTTGAGGGTTGGGGTGAGGATGCAGTAACACACCGACACCAGCTTTGCCTGATCCCATGAGGATGCCTCATGAGGCTGGACATAGGTGAGGATCGCGGGTGCGTAGAAGATGGTGATGGCAGCCAAGTGGGAGGCGCAGGTAGAGAAGACCTTCAGCCTCCTCGTGGCCAAAGGGATCTGCAGGACGGTGTGGAGGATGTAGGTGTAGGACACCAGGATCATCAGGAGAGAGACCATGGCAATAAACACAGTGTTGTAAACCTGCAAGACCTCATTTGTGCTTGTGTCTGAGCAGGAGAGCTGCAGGAGGGTGGGCAGCTCACAGAAGAAGTGGTTGATGCTCCTGGCCTGACAGAAGGACAACCTCCCTGCCAGTGTGATGTGCACCAGGGAGGTGAGGAACCCGATGGTGTACACCAGCACCATCATGCCATAGCAACGCGCCCTGGTCATGGTAGTGGTGTAGAGCAGGGGCTTGCACACAGCCGTGTATCGGTCGTAAGCCATTACCCCAAGCAGGAAGCACTCACAGACAGCCAGAGCCACGAAAATATACATCTGGGCAAAGCAACCCCAAAAGGAGATGTGGCTTCTCCCCAGCAGGAAGGTCTCCAGAGCTTTTGGGATGATAGCAGAGGAAAGGCAAACATCCATGCAAGATAAGTGGGTCAGGAAGAAGTACATGGGGATGTGGAGGTGGGGGTCAGTGTTGATCAGCAGGATCATCGTCAGGTTCCCCAGCACCATTAAAACATAGAGGGATAAGAAGACTGTGAAGATGGTGGTTTGTAGCTCTGGGGCATCAGAGAAACCCAAAAGGATGAAGCCGGAGAGAACCGTGAGGTTTCCTGTATCCATCATTTCAACAAGTTGATGGATTTGGATTGAAATGAAAGCAATCGGTGAAATACATCCGTAAGCGAGAAATAATGTGGATGTTTAGTTGGAGTTTAATCCATAAAGTAAATGCAATAGAAAATGGTGTATTTGTAATGCTGTATTTCTGTGTGTAGCCCAAGATCTGAAGTCAAAGAGGTGAAGGAGCTCATTACACAACCTGAAATTAAAAGAGAATAATTCTACCATGATTGATATACACATCACTAATGAAACACTGAAAAACATCATGTCTATCCAAACGTAATACAATAAAATCAAATAAATACATCTCAAAATGTGGAAAACAGAAAAGATTTTGTATTTTCTTCACTGATTTCTGGGAATTTTAAGGATTTTTTTCTCTCTTTTTTGTATTTTTCAGAATGGATCAATTCTCTTCTGTAGCTTCATTACTTGTGCTGCATCCTTTTCATCACAACACAAAGCCATGTACTTGAAATTTGCTTTAGGTTCTAAGTTTATCTGCTTTTGAAGAACCCCCACCCTGCATAAGGTTAAGGGAAAGCAGTGGTCTTGGCTCCAGCAGAGCCTTGCTGTGATTGCAGTGAGCTGCCTATGACCAACCCAAATATGCATCTAAGGGTGTAAAATATATCATATATAAACCAAAATTTTAAGGCTTTAGCTTGGATATTCTCATCTCTGCCATGCAATTCCTCTGCAGATGAATTACTTGATGGAATATCAATCTATGAATGGCTACATCAGTGCTAAAATACCCCTAAATCTGTTGGAGATAGGGTCAGGAACACGGGTTTTTGAACCAAAGCTACCCCGTACTAGCACACGTTTATTCACACCTCAGGCTATCATAGAATGCTTTGGGTTGAAGGGACCTTAAAACTCATCCAGTCCCAACCTCATCCCAAGAACCCCCACACTGCATAAGGTTAAAGGAATACAGTGGTCTTGGCTCTACTAGAGCTTTGCTGGGATTGCAGTGAGCTTCCTATGACCAACCCAAATATCCACCTAAGGGTGTAAAATACAAAATATACCATATATAAACCAAAATTTTAAGGCTTTAGCTTGGATATTCTCATGCTAAAATATCACTAAAACAGTTGTAGATGGGGTCACGAAGGTTGGTGTTTTTGAAGCAAACCTATTAGGCATACTAGGGCACTTTTATTTACACTATGGTCTATCATAGAACGGTTTGGGTTGAAGGGACCTTAAAGATCACCCAGCTCCAAACCCTGACACGGGCAGGCACACCTTCCACTAGAGCAGCTTGCTCCAAGCCCCTGTGTCCAACCTGGCCTTGAACACTGCCAGGGATGGGGCAGCCACAGCTTCTCTGGGCACCCTGTGCCAGTGCCTCAGCACCCTCACAGGGAAGAACTTCTTCCTTATTTCCAACCTGAATTTCCCTGTTTCAGTTTAAACCCATCACCCCTTGCCCTATCAATACAGTCCCTGAAGAAGAGTGAAATTCAACATGCCATCAAGCATGTGAGAGGCAGCATGACCAGGGTCAAACTGGACCCACCACCCATCAAACCCTTTTGTACCTGCTTGGTTAAAGAGGAAGGTGGTGGTGGATGCAGTGCCTGCAGCTCCTCCTGGAGACCATGCGATGGGTTGAAGGAGAGATGCCTGGGAGCAGGATGCTCCAGGCTGGCTGGTGGAGGGGTTTTATCTCACAGGAGGCATTACCTCAGAGGCTTGTGTTGTGCAAACTGTTCTCCCAAAGGACCCTCCTCCATCGGATAATTAGTTTGACTTGATCAGCAAAACAACCTCTCAATTCCTCTCTCCCCAAACTCCTTCTGGCTGCATCAACACCTCCAAGACCAGTTCTCCTGCAGAGACCTACCCAGGAAGACAGGCCCAGGACAGTTTGCTCTGTCTTTCCCCATCTATCACACACCTCTTCCTTTCAGTGTTTCCTTGAGGAAGCCCTTTACATCCACAGGGATCATCTAATATTGCATTGAAGGGAGCTGAAAACAAGCACAACAAAGCATCCTCTGTGTGGATGGTTTGCGCTGGTCATGGGGAGTCCTTTCCATCAGATGCATTTATTTCCATACACTTGACTAGTGATTGTACAACACTTTGGTCAAAAGCATTGGCTCAAAACGTGGCTGCTTTGAGGATATAGCAGGATGAAGTCAGATTTCCCAGTCTTCATCTGAAGAATCCTGAGTGCCGGTGTGTCCTGAATGCTTCTCCTAGATGAAGAGACATTATAAAACCCTTAGTAGAAATATTGAATTACAACCTTGTCCCAGACATTTAGAAAAGACAAAGGATGGGGAAATCAGGGGAGAAAACCGAGCTATGAAAGTGTGGGGAAGGAAGAAGAAGTACACAGGTGGCTTTAGATGTTTTCAATGTCAACCCGTTTTTCTGCTTGAAGGCACCAGACTGACAGTCCAGGAGATGCACTGGAGGAGGGTAGAAAAGGATTTCTGAGTGGTTTTGAATGTCTTTCTTCCCCATTGGGTACTGGGCTAAAACCAAGGCTTGTGAAGTGGGAAAATCAGTATAACAGAGAGAGAAATAACTCTCAATCAAATTCTGGAAAGAAGAAAAATATGTAATTCAAAGATTATTTAAAAGAACTACATGAAGGCAAGAAAGAGGCACTGAGAATACCTGGGTGAGCTTGTGCAGGGTGAATAATGCAGCTTGAAGTCCCAGAAGCAGACAGCTGAGTACCGCACTTGCTCGATCAGCTTCGTCAAGATACCCAGGCAAGCAGCACCTTGGGTGCTCAGGGGAGAGGAAGACCCCTGATCCTCCCTCCTCTTACAGCACTCAGGTTTTTTACAACCCTACTTCAATTCACAGCAGAGCAGAGGCTCAGATATGACTTGTCCCCATTTAGCACAAGGGCTCCGATATCAAGAGACTGACAGAGCTTTATTTCTTTGAATCCCAGCCTGGATTCAATTTTCACTGAATAGCTGAGCCTGGTTTGTGTTTGAATTGAAGGGACCTTAAAGCTCATCCAGCTCCAACCCCTGCTATGGACAGGGACACCTTCCACTAGAGCAGCTTGCTCCAAGACCCTGTGTCCAACCTGGCCTTGAACACTGCCAGGGATGGGGCAGCCACAGCTTCTCTGGGCACCCTGTGCCAGCGCCTCAGCACCCTCACAGGGAGAAACTTCTGCCTAAGAGCTCATCTCAATATCCCCTCTGTCATTTCACGTGACCAAACCTTATGGTCTGGAGTTGAAATACCTGGAAATATCAGTTGATATTTCCTTAAAACCAGAAATAAAATCAGAAATCATTTGTTAATATAAAACATGAGCTCAGATACCAGCTGGTTTGATGCCAGCAGGGCAAAGCCACCACCTTCTCCCTTTTGCTCTCTGAACCCTGAAATAAAGTTTATTGTTATGTTTAATAGCATTTAAATAATAAAATATATTAATTTCAAGTAATATTTATGTAACATTCACATTGGACAACAACTTTCTTTCCAATACACAGTCACTGTCAGGTCTCAGGCTGCAGCCAGAGAAAGTCCTGTCCATCCCAGCACAGAATGTAGCCTTGGTTTAAGGAGAAGCATGTTTTCCAGGTGTCATGCTTCCAAGTATGCTTAGTCCCTACTTTGTGAAGGTGCTATATCCACCCATCCTCATCAAGGTGCTATATCCAACCATCCTCTTCAAGGTGCAATATCCAGCCATCCTTGAACGTGCAATATCCAGCTACCTTCTTCTCCTCACCAGGGCAGGGTAGCCCTCTCCTTTCATAGGAACCGTGAATGAATAAAAAGGAGAGGACTCTACTTTTTGCTTTCCTCATGGCATTCTTCATATCCACATTTCTTAGGCTGTAGATGAGCGGGTTCAGCATGGGGACAGCCAGAGAGTGCAGCATGGAGATCACCTCGTCATGCTTTGAGGACTGGCTGGAGATGCAGAGCAGGTACTTGAAGAGGGAGCTGCCATAGTACAAAGCAATGGAGATGAAGTGAGAGGCACAGGTGAAGAAAGCTTTGTGTTGACCAACCACAGACTGCATTCGCATGACAGTGGAAAGGACCAAAAAGTAGGAGATGAGGATGAAGACCGTGGTGCTCAGTACCTTGAACCCCACCACGGCAGCAACCATCACCTCGATGGCAGGGGTGTCAGAGCAGGAGAGGGCTAGCAGTGGTGGTCCATCACAGAAGAAGTGATTGATCGTCTTGGAACAACAGAGCGGGAGACGAGATATGGAAACCGTGTGTATGGTAGAGCTGATCACGCCAGCTAAGTAGGCACTAGCCAACATCCCAATGCAAAGCCTTTGGGACATGACCATGGAGTAGGAAAAGGGGGTTACAAATGGCCATGTAGCGATCATAAGCCATAGCAGAGAGCATGTAGCACTCGGTTGTGGCACAGGTTGCAAAGCAGAAGAGCTGAGTGGCACATCTAATGAAGGAAATCACCTTCTTCTCCACTAGAACACTGAGCAAGGCTTGAGGGATGATGTTAGAAGAGTAGCAGACATCCAGGAGAGACAAGTGGCTTAGGAAGAAGTACATGGGGGTGTGTAGTTAGGAATCCATTCTGATTAATGCAGTTACTCCCAGGTTTCCTATGAAGGTAACCACATAGATGGCAAGGAATAAGACAAAGCACATCACCCACAGGTCTTCCCTGTTTGTGAAGCCCAGGAGAATAAACTCAGAGGGGGACATATAATTATCTTCAACCATAGTAAACCTATAAGCAGTTTGCGTGATTTATGTCTTTAAATTGAAATGCTGAATAGGCCCAAATCCCTCAATAATGTTAAGAATGTGAGGTTTTATCTATCAATCAGTTACACCACTTTAAGTCAATAGAAAGTGTGTATTTTTTATATACACACACATGCTGCTACTTAGAAGGAAAAAATAAAAGCACAACTTCTTTTTCATTTTGATGCAGCTGCCTTTACTTTTCAATCAGAAATGCTTCCGTTACTGTGCTCCCAAAGATGAGAGGGGGCTGCAGGGCCTTCAAGGAAAGGGCAGAAGTCACCTCCTTGCTCCCAAAAAGCCCTAGTAGGGAATGACCCTGGTTATTCCTGCCTAGCACTTAATGTTCTGTAACAAAAGGTGGGTTTCCTACCCCATGCAGGTTACCAGGATGGATCCACCAGTAACCCAGGAACCTGGTTACTGTATAGGCATCCTCACCCATTTAATTCAGCATCAGAGAGCACCTAAATAAGCCCAGCTGCTCCCCTGGGATTATTTAGGTGGTGATGGATGTGATTTACATACATCAACAACAAGGAATTAAATCCTTCACCTACATGGGATAAACCTGTTTTGAGATCTGATGTGTTTTCCTTTGCTTTCGTTACAAAATCTGGGATGGCTTTGTCAGGAGTAAAGATGTGCAATGGGGACACTTTCTGAGAGGGATCTGTGGATCTAGAGGAAACAACTGATGGAGAAGGAGATCATTTAAATTGCCAGGAATTAGCACTTCAAATTGTGTATGGATAGCACAGGCTATTTAATGAAAAAAAAAACATTTAAAAGGCAGAATGAATTTGATATCCTCAACATCAGAAGGACATGGAGCAAGTGCAGAGGAGGACACGAGGATGATCAGGGGCTGGAGCACCTCCCATATGGAGCCAGGCTGAGAACATTGGGGCTGCTGAGCATGGAGAAGAGAAGCTGTGTGGAGACCTCAGAGCAGCTTCCAGTGTCTGAAGGGGGCTACAAGGATGCTGGAGAGGGACTCTTCATCAGGGACTGGAGTGACAGGAAAAGGGGTCATAGGTTCAAAGTGAAACAGGGGGAGTTCAGGTTACATATAACAAAGAAGCTCTTCCCTGTGAGGGTGCTGAGGCGCTGGCACAGGGTGCCCAGAGAAGCTGTGGCTGCCCCATCCCTGGCAGTGTTCAAGGCCAGGCTGGACAGAGTCTTGGGTGACATGGTCTAGTGTGTAGTGTCCCTGACCATGGCAGGTGGCTGGAACCAAGCTCCTTTCCAACCCAAACCACTCTGTGATTCTACAATAATCTACATTTCATACAACCTGAAGCCTCAGCCAAGAACTGCATTAGGAAAAGTGGGGTTTAAAGCATCATTTCTAAATGTGAGGGGACTTCATTTGAAGCTGTTAAACCATCTGACATTGCTTTAACAGGGTCAGGAAGTAAGCTGTCTACATAGGATCAGCCAACTGTAGAGGCAACATGATGGCCTTAGTTTATTTATCTATTATTTCTCAGTTTCTTGGGTAAGAACAAGCCACTTGGCTGCGCAAAGCTTCCCAGCACATAAGAAAAAGAAGTTTTTATCTTAAAGAGAAAGGAGTGGCTATTCCCAGCAACGTCCAATAGATGGTGGTGTTGTATAAGAAATCCTGATCCATGAGTTTCTAGCCACTTACTTCAAAACTTCTGCCTTTTGATACCTACAGGGACTCCTGTGACCATTTTGCACCTCTTGGAGGTGACCACAGAGAGCAATGGTACCAAGAAGGAACAAAAATCACATAGGAAAAGGAATAGATTTTGTTCAGAAGTAGATGAAATGTAGCTTTGAAGGAGAAATGGGCATCTAAAGAGCAAGCATATGTCATGTGCTGCTGGCAACAGTAAGAGTCAGCTTCAGGCTGGTAACTTTAGTAAAGAGTAAGAATAAATAAAGAATAAAAGACAACAGATAAAGAATAAAGTATAAATAAAGAATAAAGTATAAAAAAAAATAAAGATTTATTCCTTAGTGCTGGCCAGGGTCACATCCCTGTTTGGGTTATTTTCCCCTGGATTAAAGAGTGTTTTCCCACTGGAGATGCCACAGCTCAAGTGACCACAGGTGGAAAATCCCCATCCAGGACTCAGCCAAGCCTTCTCCTTCCTATCAGCCCATCAGCTCCAAATCCATTCCCAGAGGAGCTTGTTAACACAACTGGATCAGGGACATCTCTCACCTTTGAGTGATGAGCTGCTAAAGAAATAGGGAAGTTTTGGGTGTGTGGGGAAACCCTGTGGTGACTTTTCCCTGGTGGCATTGCGATTTTATAGCAACCAGGATATGGGGGAGCTGCAATTTGTGCCAGGAATGACTTCTTGCATAGGAAATAAAGACTTTTGGTTGGGTTTCTTCATTACCTTCGATTTTCCTGCTGTTTCAGGGTCCTGGTTTGTTTGCATGTTTGCTTTGGGTTTCTTTAATCCCCATTGCCTCAAACCAAAGTGCAACTCTCCTGCGCAAAATACTGATAACATTCTTGCCTTTGTTTTTAACAAACCACTGTGGGTATAAATTAGAAAACTCCTTAGAGCTTCTCTTAAAGGCTTTGAGAAAGGCAGAACTTGAGGAGGAAAATGAAAGGGTGAAGTTCTACAGCTGCCTGAAAAGAGGCGGCAAAGCCCAATTTGACTGTGATTTAACTCAGCAGCCTGGTTCCAAACACAGACCTGTTGAAAATTTGCATTTCACTGACTTGACTCACGCACAATATCCCATTGCTCCATAACTGCATTAAAAGTTCAGTTCATCCATTTAGATCTTGGGTTTCCATCCTTCCTGGGAAAAGCCCATAGCAGCTGGGCCCTCCCCACCCTACGAATCACTGAGACCCCAACTAAACTGAGGCAAGCAAAATTAGTTTTGTGTGTGTTGGTGTTGACATTTAACACAAGAACATATTGTGCTATATATAAATATATAGTTTAGGATTCATTTAATATTGTGTTTTGATATATATACACACATACATATGTGTTTATGTGTATAATTTGCCAGTCATAGGAACAGAGACCTCCTAGATGTCCTTTGTGACCAATAACTATGTCCTGCTGGTCATAGTCACATCAGTGACTAGTCATGGTCATGCTAGTCATGGCCACATCAGGTTGCTCCTGGCCTCATTCAGGCAGCTTCTGAACATGTCCATGGGTGGAGGCTCCACAGCCTCTGGGCTTTGCACAAGTCCAGGTAGATGCCATCAACTGCTCTACCCCTGTCCATCAGTTCTGTAGCCCCATCATAGAAGGCCATCAAATTGGTCAGGCAGGATTTCCCCTCAGTGAAGCCCTGCTGGCTGTCACCAAGCACCTTGTTGATTTTCATGTGCCTTAGCATGCCTGCCAGGAGAATCTGCTCCAAGATTTTGCCAGGCACAGAGGTGAGACTGACTGCTCTGTAATTCCCCGGGTCATCCATTTTCCCCTTCTTGAAAATGGGGGTTATATTTCCCTTTTTCCAGTCATCGGGAACTTCACCTGACTGCCAGGATTTCTCAAATATGATGGCCAGCGGCTTCGCAACTTCATTCTCCAGCTCCTTCAGGACCCGCGGGTGGATCTCATCAGGACCCATGGACTTGTGCACGTTCAGATTTTTAAGATGGTCTCGAACCAGCTCCTCTCCTACAGTGGGTCCAAGGTCTTCATTCTCACAGTCCCTGCGTCTGCCTTCCAAGACTTGGGTGGTTTGGTCAGAGCCTTTGACAGCGAAGAGCGAGGCAAAGAAGTCATTCAGAACCTCAGCCTGCTCCAAATTCAGGGAAACCACTTCTCCCGAGAGCTTCCTGAGGGGACCTACGTTATCCCTAGTCTTTTTATTCGCTACATACCTGTATGTCGTGGTTTAAACCCAGTCAGGTAACTTGTTCACTCACTCCCAGTGAGTGGCGCCGAGCTGACAACAATCGAGGTCTGTGTCCGTGTCGTGTGTCGTCCCCCCCCCCCCGCACCGGGGCTCTCCCCTTCCCCGCTCCTGGAGGAACGGGGAGGAGGATCGAGAGAGTGCAACTCCTACGGGTTGAGACAAGAACAGTCCAGCAACAAATCACCACCGCTACTATCAGCTACAACAATGATAAGGGAAAATAACAAGGGAAGCCCCTGTCCTTCCGGGTAACTCCCAGTTACCCCTCACCCCGGGCATGACGTGCTGTGGTATGGAATACCTCCCCGGCTAGCCCGGGTCAAAATCTCTGCTTCCTCACAGCTTCCCCTCCTCCCTGGCAGAGCATGAGCCTCACAAAGTCCTTGGTCAGGGTAAACATCACTTAGCAACAACCGAAAACATCGGCTTCACCAACACTGTTCTCCGGCTGGAAGTCAAAACACAGCACTGCACCAGCTACCACAAAGGAAAAAAAAAAACAAAACATGATTGCTACTGCTGAACCCAGGACACAGACCCAAAACAGCCCCCAAAAACCAGACCCCCAAAACAGGACAAAAACTCCCCAAAACACCCCAAAAACCACCACATGGTCACATTGTTCTGCTTCTCCTGTGGGATACAGGGTCAGAGCCCCAGAACAGACACAAAAAGGGCCAAAAACAACCAAAACCACCCCAAAAGCCACACCAAAACCACCTTGTCCTGCTTCTCCTATGTGATAGATTGTGAGAGCCACAAAACAGGACAAAAAAAGGATAAAAGCAGGCCAAAACACCCCAAACAACCCCCAAAATGGGCCAAAACCACCTTGTCCTGCTTCTCCTATGGGATACAGGGTCAAAGCCCCCAAAAGACACAAAACAGGCCAAAAACAACCCAAAACCCAGCACAAAACCACCTTGTCCTGCTTCTCCTATGGGATACAGGGTAAGAGGCCCAAAACAGGCCAAAAAAAAAATAGTCAACAAAAACATGCCAAATCACCCCAAAACCACCTTGTCCTCCTTCATCTAAGGGACAAAGGGTCAGAGCCCCAAAACAGACACAAAATAGGCCCCAAACAGGACAAAAACAGGCCAAAACCACCCCAAAACCACTTTGTCCTGCTTCTCCTATATGATACTGGGTCAGAGCCCCAAAACAGGACAAAACCAAGCCAAAAGCAGGGAGAAACCACCCCAAAACCACCTCTTCCTGCTTC